TCTCAATTTACCTCAAACTGATGTGCTTTATATCTATTTATACTTTTGAATGGTGTCTTGTATAAAAAATCACAATTATTACATAATTTCAGTTTTTTCATTGTAACTTGATACCCCATGATTTTCTTTTCTTAAAAACTCCTTAAATCATGATGTTTTGTCATTCTGGGCACACAAAAGTCCACATGAGCTACTTCCTTGCAGTGAAGATAGGAAAAAATTACCCTATGCAGGTTGCAGTCTTGTAATTGACTGCTCCATAGGCTTACATGCAAAACAGCTGATCTTTGAAAATAAAAAAATTAAAAATGCTACATAGAAAAAAATTTTCATGTTCATATCATGTATTTACTAATGTGAAATTGTGATTTAATCGAAAAAAAAGTGGGTCATGCCACGAAGAATAAAAAGTTACATAACGCTGAAGTCAAAACAATTTTTTTCTACTTTCTGTTTGCTGTTTTTACTAGGCCGCACCACTTCCAGTAAACATGATATCCTTCCACTTTCTTGGATTGATATCCCCAAAAAGATGCAAGATTTTTTTTAAATCTATATATATGTTTCAATTCAGCATAAACTTTTAATCAAACAGAAAAAATTGAGTCCAGAAAAAAATTCTGAAAAAAATGGACTATTTTATTTACCTCCATGTTTTGACATGCACCGGAAACTGGAGTTGTAATACAAGACTGGTACCTAAACATGTCACCTTTCTTTTACAAATAACTGATTAAAAATATGAAGCCTTTACTGTAAAATAAATCATTCTAATAAAAATAAATTCATCCAGATTTTTCTCTCATAACCTTTCAACAGTTATTGTAAACTAATTTATTCGAACTATAATAGTCCTATGACTTGCTGTCCGTTTACCAATATTTATACTTTATAAAGTGTTTTCCTATTCATTGATCATTAACTTCATGTTTTGCGAATACTTATAAGGGGGTAATTATTATAGCCAGTAATAGCTAACAATTTATCTAAAGAAAACGAGATGCTATATTCAAATTCTGAGATATGAATCTTTAGTTCTTTAAAAAAAAAATCTCAACAACAAAATTCTACACTTTCATTTATCTGGGTCTTTTTGTCTCCGCTTCGAAGCCGCCATCCCGTACCATACATATCTATTCGTTTGGCAATATACAACCATGTAAGCATGCAATATACAACAGGCAGTAGATCTGAATTTGTAAATTGTTATCTTGGATTTTACCTGATTAGGACGTGTCTCGTTGAATTTTCTAATAAACTTACACACAAATAATCTGACTTTCAATCGTAATGTTATGAGATCTATAAGAACATAGAGCTACTGTATAGGCCTAGTTGCATGTAAGTCTTTACAAATTATATATTTTGGTATGCTATAGTTTGTTTTTATAGACTATTTGTCATTTGATCGGTTTTTTTTTTTGGTTTTTTTTTTAGTTTTTGACATGGCGTTGACTCGAGTTTGATATATTATGCATCTTTTGTGCTGTATTTTAACAATTATTTACAAGCATGCTGCATGTTAACATATTCATCACTATACCGCATCTAAATATAGCTTTATTGTAAAAAAAAAAATAAGGAGATGAAGTATGATTGGTGATGGGACAACTATCAACCAGAATTTAAAATACCTGATATAAGCAATTGTGACTTACTTTCTTTACTCAGAGTGATCGTAAATTAATCAGATAAGCTGGAGGAGGGGTGGGGGCTTCATATTAAAAGAAAAGAAATTAGCATTAGCTTTTTGTGATAAATATATAATAAACTCACAGTAACAGAAATAGCTTTGAAATGTTCATGAAAATACTCGTTAGTCATGAACATTTTAAATCGTACTGTAAGTGAAAATACTCGTTAGTCATGAACATTTTAAATCGTACTGTAAGTGAAAATACTCGTTAGTCATGAACATTTTAGATCACTTAAAATTTAGATTTTATAACTTAAATTACGAAAGATGATAATTTGTCAAATGAGCCCCTGTAAATTAATTTTTTCTGTGAAATGAGTCTTAAAGAGTATATACATGTATATCGGGATACTGACTGCAGTAAATATTTATGTAGGCCTACGGCTCATTTTGGTTTTTTAAGTAAGTTTCCTTCCCCCTGCATTACTTGATCGCTTTTGTAAAAAATAAACAGCACAACAACAACAGCACTCGACGTCAGTATTGTACCAAAAAATGAAGAGAAACAAATATTCAAAAAGAAGGCTCATGAAATTCAAATATTGGTAATTAAGCACACACAGTAACTTGTCACTACAGACATGATCTTTTTGTTAATGCGTCAAACTCGTTTCTTCCACAGAACGATGTCGATGGTGGGGAAAACCTAGTCCAAATAATTATAACCAGTAAAGAGTTAACAAAAAAATACATTTTATTTTAATGGCATACAAGATTGGAATATGTTGCCAAATATTTTTCTTAATAATGTTAAAAAAATAAAGAACATAAAGGATTTCAAAATTAGCGTCAAAAGAGTACTTGACCAAAAGTTAGATAGTGTGGCCTCATCAGACTTCTTTTTATAACTTAAACTCATTTTTTATTCAAATTATTCTTATATGAATTTTTTATGTCATATTAATTTGTGTGATATCTTTTTTGTATGTCGAAACTATAAGCCGTTTACATGAAGGGACCCCATTGGAAAAAAGCTTTAAAGCTTTCATGGGTTATCCCTGATAAAATATCAGCAAATTTTTTCCATGCATTTAAAGAATATCTACACTCATAAAATGCCATTATATTTTACAAAGTATGTGTAAGTAATGTCTTTATGTAGATATATATTGAGTATTTATTATTATTATTATTATTATTATAGTTGTGATGTTGCTTCGCTGAGCTATAGATAACCGTACGACCATCAACAATGAGCAAAATTCACACCATATACATGATATAGACATAGGTGCTTGAGGACAGGAGTCGAGATTCACGTTGATAGTTAACATGTAAAAATGTGGTATATTAGTATATATATGGTACAAAACAGGATCCTGTCCTCAAGCACCTATGCATATAGAAAGCTGTAAATATAATAAAAGGTAAAACAAATCAACAAGAAGCCTAACATTTATAATAGAATTTAAAATAAAATTGAAAATAGAAATGGGGAATGTGTCAGAGAGACAACAACCCGCCCAGAAGAGCAGATAACAGCCGAAGGTCACCAATGTGACTTCAATGCAGCGAGAAAATCCCACAACCTGAGGCGTGCTTCAGCTGGCTCTAAACAAAAATGTATACTAGTTCAGTGATAATGGACGTCATACTAAACTCCGAAATATATAAAAGAAACTAAAATTAAAAATCATACAAAACTGACAAATGCCATAGGCTCCTGACTTAATAATCATGTTAATTTCCCTTTCAATTTTTAAAATTTCTGATTTAAGTTGTATATTGGGACTTTGGATAGTCTCAAGAATGCTTTCACCAATTTTTATGAAACTTTGGTGAATTGATTTTATATATTGACATAAACTCCCTTTTCATTTTTATGACCCATAGTGGGTCAACCCTTGACCGTCTGTCCGTCTGTCCCAAAGTCATTGGTTTTTGTTCTCTAATTTAGTTTGCCTCAACCAAATGCTATAAAACATTTACAAAAGCTTATTACCACAATACTCAGATCAAGTGTGAATTTTTGTGGTGTCAGTGTTATCGTTCTAGAGTTATGCCCCTTTATAAATGGAAAAATTACTGAATTTTTGGTTTCCCGCTCTCTAACTTTAACTTTAGATTGCCTCAACCAAATGTTATGAAATTTGCACACACTGCTTATTACCACAAAAAACAGTTTGAATATTGGTGGTGTCACTTTTACTGTTCTAGAGTTATGTCCTTTACAAATGGAAAAATGATGATTTTTTTGTTTCCGTCCTCTAAATTAAGTTTGCCTCAACCAAATTTTATTAAACTTTAACACAATACTTTTTACCACAAAATCAGATCAAGTTCAAATTTTAATAGTATAAATTTTACCGTTCTTCAGTTATCTTCCTTTATAAATTTATATGATATGCAAGCCGGAGTATCATCCCCTATTTATTTTTATATAAGATGCAGAGTTATGGAATTTTAGTTGTTCGAAAATTGTTTAAAATTGTCCATTTTCACACTTTGGAAGGTTTTAGAATTGTGTTTGTTCAAAAATTAGGCCTTAAACTTATATACACTTGTGATATCCCTAAATGGAGCCAAATTATTTTCATGTTTTGTTTCAATGAATACCACTCTGTGTGCATGTCCTTTTTTAGCTCACCTGGCTCGAAAGGCCAAGTGAGCTTTTCTCATCACCTGTTGTCGTCCGTCGCCGTTGTTAACTTTTTACATTTTGAACTTCTTCTAGAGAACCACTGACTGGAATGGAATCAAACATGGCATGAATGTTCCTTATGAGGTGCTGACCAAGAGTTGTTACTTTGTTGCTGATCTATCATCCAAGATGGCTGCCAGGGGGGGACTTAGTTTAAGATAGGACCCTATAGGAAATACATACAAATGTCTTCTTTTAGAGAACCACTGAATGGAATGAAACCAAACATAGCATGAATGTTCCTTATGAGGTGTTGACCAAGTGTTGTTACTCTGTAGCCGATCCATCGTCCAAGATGGCTGCCAGCGAAGTAGGACAATCCAAATATGGCCTCAATCATTATTAAAGTATCTGTTATGATTTTATCTTTTTTATAGGATTTCAAAAACCCAAATAGAGTCAGGTGAGCGACACGGGTTCTTTAGAGCCTGTAGTTTTGTTTTTTTAGGGGGGTCTTAGTTGCGCAGTGCTCAGTTTTTCTATGATGTAGTTGATCATTAAAATTCATTTAAAGCATAAACCCAAGCTAAGAAGGCAATAAGCTTATCAAGCACTCATGGTACAGCTTTTTATTAAACACGCATTGATTTATACATAAAACAGCAAAATAATTATTGATGAAAGATGTCATTAAATAATAATTTTTACTCTTTTTATGTGCAGGACAAGAACTATAGAAGATACAGAGAAATTATAAACAGCAGAAATGATAGGCAATTTAAAATTTGCAGAAGTCAACAAAACCTAAATGGTAAGTAAACTCATCATAGATACCAGGATTAAATTTTGTATTTACGCCAGACACGCGTTTCGTCTAATAAACACTCATTAAAGATGCTCGATAAGACTCATAAGGCCACTTTTATAAAAGTTATTGCCCTTGAAAGATGATTATCATGATTATTATAAAAATAAAAAGATGTGGTATATTAAATATGAAAACTATTGATCATGGCTCTAAGAAAGCAATAATAGGCCAGTGACGGCCTTCAATAATGAGAAAATCCATGCCCTATTGTCAAAGTAGTCAGCTATAAAAGGCCCTCTGATGAAAAATTGATATAATCCCAACTGTAGAACTAATTGCCTAGTTTATAACAAAACAAATTAAAAGAAATAAATATGACAGATATGACTCAACAACAACCACTAAATTTTAGTGTCAGAATAAACTACAGGCTCCAAACTTGGGACAGGGACAATCAGAATATGGCAAGGTTATATAAAAATAAGAAAATGTGGCATGATTGCCAATAAGACAACTCTTCACTAGACAACAAATGACATACTGGTAGATTGCCTGCACAAAAATAAACAGTCCGGACTAAGCAGGAAATTTATACCTTTCCCTTAATCATGTTAATCGAAAAGACACAAAGATCTGTTAGTACTCACAGTTACTGACAGCTAGTTAAAAATCAATAAAAACTAATACATGTAATAAAAAAATCAGGTTTGTGAGCACTCAACCCTACCTAAACTTTGGACAGTGGTTTAACAGCTCAACATATAAAGAACAAACTGTAAAATAACCGTTGCAATTGCCTTAACACGAAAGATTGATAAAATGCACAAAATCAACTAATATAAAAACCGATAGACAAAAAGCACAGAATTAAGAGAACTCACAAGTAAGAAAGGAAATATTCTTAAAATGTTCATAAACATGACAAAATAAGCTTTTTTATTGCTGTTTCTCTCTCCATTTATAACATTTTATTTGTTTATTTTGTGTATTTATAGGTGATCAGACATCTTGGTTATCATGATCAATAGGTCAATACTGAATAGGAAACTGAAAGTTGATATCTATCTACATGGTGCGCTAATTGGATTAATGTGAAATGGAATGTGTGCTTTCCTGCAAAAAAGAAATATGAAATTTCATCATAATCACATGATAATGGCTATAAACAAAATGGAGTTCTATCATAGATGCAGAAAAACACAATTGTATAAATGCAACAACATATTATATATATTCATCGAAAGAAGGGAGAAATGAAGAAAAAAATAGTATTTTGTTGTTGAAAGACTCAACACCAGCTTTATCCACTCATTTACATCGCTCCCTCATATCAAATATACTGAAGAAGATCTTCGAAGAACAAATTGCAAAAATGTTTTCTCTAAGAATTGAAGGAATTTATGTAGTGGATTGAATAACTGTACACAGCAGCTGAAACAGAGGAAAATTAAAATTTACAAGAAAAGTGTTTATTTTATTATTTAATTTGCAAATATGAAGGCATTCTTAAGAACACAACAAATGGTATGACATTCAAATTGGTTGCTTATTAATGTATACAATTAAAACAATAACAAAGAAAACAGAATACTTTGCTACAAAAAATATTTTATAAATCAAAGTTAAAGTCATATAAAGTATGTACAATACCTTGACCCAAACAGTCAGACTCACTGTATTGTTTTTGTATGTCATGATAATTTTGAGTCAAAAATTTATTAAAGTTTTAAATATCATTTGTATCATTTATTTAGACTTGTAAACATTATGTTCATACTGTTTGTATAGTGAAGAAATTTACAATGAGTAAAAATAGGGGAAAACATTTCCTACAGGGAAAGTTGATGTACAGAAATTTCCCTGGAGGAAATTTGGAGAACAATGTTTTCCTTAGAGGAAATTTGTGGTATTGAATTTTCCCTCAAGGAAAAGTGTTTGTTAAAAATTTCCTCAAAGGAAATTGCAGTTGACAAAATTTCCTCACAGGAAAAAGTATTTCCTCAAAGGAAAATTTGAAGCTGTAAATTTCCTCAGAGGAAAATTTGAAGCCGCAAATTTCCTCAGAGGAAATAGAATTTCCTCAAAGGAAAATTGAGAGCCGCAAATTTCCTCAGAGGAAATAGAATTTCCTCAAAGTAAATATTAATGCAGCAAATTCCCTAAGGGAAATCTTTTCCCTTGAGGAAAATACAATTTCCCTTAAGGAAAAATCTTTTTCCTTTAGGGAAATTTGATTTCCCTTGAGGAAAACTACTTTTCCTCTGAGGAAATTGTTGAAAAAAGGGGCATAACTTTTTCAACAGTGGTGCTAGAGCCAAAATTTTTTAGGACAAATATCAGGGAACCAATAACAACCAAGTTATCAACTTCATTTTAACTTAACTCCAAAAATTAAGGTGACAACTTTTGCACTCAGCGGAAGTGCAAACTTGTCCCGGAGACTGTTCTGACTATGCGATATGGGTTATGCTCATTGTTGAAGGCCATACGGTGACCTATATTTGATAATTTCTGTGTCATTTGGTCTATGGTGGACAGTTGTCTCATTGGCAATTATACCACATTTTTTATTTTTCTATATATATACATATACATAAATGCAACTAACTATACAAACAAATGGTGAAAAAAATACAGATTAAGTCATACATTTCATGAACATATGTCCTTAATCATGTTCAATAGATAGAAGGGAAAAAAATCGAAAAATTACAAGATTTTATATATATCTCGTTCTCTAATTCTTTGACAATTTATACCTTTCTGCACTCATTGTATAAAAAAAATTAATCAACGTGTGGTTGTCGGTGATCTCAGAAGATGATTGGATGAGTTTAAGGGTCATAACCTTAATCAGCTAACTACCGGTAAATGAATCAAAATATATGCTAACAGGTGCTAATGAAATTGACAACTTTGTGAAATTTGGAAGGCAATCGAAGGGGATTTTTGTTTAACAAAAAATGACAATTTATTATTTAGTCATTAGAGAAACAGATTCTTACATAGTTACTCGTGGATTATCGGATTTATCCAATCTCGATATTTAAATTATAAATTTTAAAGTCCGAGCCTCGGCGAGGACTTTAAAATTGATAATTAAACTATCTCGATTGGATAAATCCGATAATCCACTGGTATCAATGTAAGAATCTATATTTATATACATATATTGTTTATGTTCTGTATTGATATATAATTGATTGTAATGATTAATGTTTGTTCTTTGTTTGTGTGTTGATAACAATCCAGATTTTGGATTTTATATCAATAAAATCTTTGACTTTGACTTTGATTTTGACTTTGACTTTGTTCAAGACAAATAAATGCAATTTTTAGACTATATATAAAGTTATATGATAATTATTTCATTGGTCTTACATGTTGTATATTAATCTTATATACGACTTTGGATACTTTTCATATAAAGAGTACAACTGGTTGATCAACGATTTGTTTGTGTTGTTAATATTTTTGCTGTCTAAGCTTTGTGCAATCACGATTCGGTTTATTGAAATGCTTGATTGCAGAAGTTTCAGACAAGCAAGTCTGAAAACATATATTCCAACATTCTAATATCAGTGGCTGGACGTTGATCATGATCATCTATTATAAGTAAGTACATATTTTTAAAGACAGAAACATTTTAGTCTTATCTTAAACTGTATATTTACAATTATTTGGTTTGGGGTGGGGATCTGAAAAGTTTTAAAGATATTAAACGATTGTTCATGGTAGGTATGTTGCACTATTTCCAAGGACAAATTGATGCGGTCTAGAAAACTCTTCTCAAGACAATAAAAATATATGGGTTAGGAATGGGGATAAAAAAAAGCTTTCCAGTTACTTAAAAGTTTATGATATGAGCGGATTGGGAAATCCAATAAACTCAGGAGACAATATGAATGGAACACAATAGAAATATCTTAGTATCATAGTATATAAGTATATTTATTAATTAACTACTCTGTTATTAGACTTAATATGATGATAACTGCCTGTTCCAAACAAAATTGTCAACTCAGCCAATTCAGAATATCTCGACTAATACAGATTTCTTTTTTTCGTATTGGCCGAGTTCTGATCCTTTTGTTTCTGCATTACTCATTCAATGGCAGTACCTTTCCAATTACTATTTATGTGTTGCGTCTAAATATGATTTGTAACACTTTATAGTGACACCTCGAAACAGCACCGGATCATTTGACATTATAAAAAGGAAACTCAGATCTGGATAGTTCTATTTCAAGGTAAAACATGTTAATCTCTTGTGAAATGAAATAACAAATATGAAAACACTGTAGTTAATTAATTAAGATATTATTACGTGAGTATTTCTGTATTGGCCTTGTTATTGGTCCTCCGCCAGCTGTATTACCCAATGGTTAAGCCTCGCGGACCAATACCAAGGCCAATAACGATATGCTCACGTAAGAATATCATTATATATGTACAGTTAATGAGAAATTTAATATCATTTTATAAATTTTGTAATGCTTTGGAAGACAAGAATATATATGGTTCGGATGGGATCAGGTGGGAGTGCCCGTAAAAGTCAAAAATTGACCTTTGACCTTGATCGAGGACAAAGTTTAATGTGATTGGTTATCTGCAGTGGTATGCGATCCACCGTTTTGAGCAACTTGGTCTTGAGCTGATACACACATGCACGTCGTGCCAAATATATATATATAAAAAAAGCCTTATAATTCGACCTTTCTAGGGGCAATTTTCCTGTCGAGCCTTAAACCAAATATTTTCTTGTTTACAACGTTAAAACACTGTTGAGCACTTACATCTATGTCTTTTCGGGTCTTGGGATCTTCCACGGCTTCGAGGGTTAAAAGACAGGATTCTAATATGGTTGAAATGATTAAGATGCAGAAAAAATACCCGAACAATAAGTCTCCCGTCCCTAGGGATATACAAAATTCGTAACAAAATACCATAAGGGAGGGTGCGGATGGGGATTTATAGAATAGAGAAAAATGGCCTAAAAAATTAAAGAATACAGAAATGAAGGACCCCATCCAGACTCTCATAAACACTGACTGATGTTGAAGTTCATTGAAATTTGAGAGATCACTTCAAACTATATGGATATTTACATGACCTATATCATCGTCGTCATGTAAAATCAATAGATCATTTTAACGGTATGAAAGTAAGATATGGTCCGTCCCGATTGTCATCAATTTGGATATGAAGATTATGTGTGAGATTTATATGTTATATATCGAGATAAAAGTAACGACAACGAAGCGTTTTTCACAGTTGTAGACACTACACTATAGTTATTTTTAGAATTATTACTTATGTATTCAAGATGACTCACAGTTACAGAATTGTAGCAAGACAGCAATTAAAAATAGAAAAGTTCTAGTCATCCTGTACACAAGGTTAAGAAATAACTTTGAAATTATATTTCCAAGCGACAGTTGTAATTAAATCGTTAAATAAAATAGCTACACGTATGCTACGGCAGTCATGAATATTTAGTCTTCATTAAATCAAAACAGTTGACTAAATAACAAAATACATAAATAATAATAAATGGAATAATGTCAGAATCACATTAAAAAATGAAACCTACTAATTCATGTTTTGTATACAAGTCTATATGACCTTACGATAGATACTCACCAGTATTGAACCATTTATTGACGTCCACGTAGTAATACTACATAATAAAATTATGTGTCTATTCAGTTGGTTACGTAATTTCTGAAAAATCATTAACGTCTACAGGTAACAGCTTCCATTTGCATTTGATTATTTCCATATGATCAAATTCTGGATCTGGCAAGTTAAAAAAGAGACGTTTACTAACCAGTCACTATAGGAACATTGATTTTAAAGAAAAAATGCCACATTGGTGTTATCATACTGTTCACTGTACTCCTCAGATCTATGGCACTACCAGCATAATAAAAAAAAAAACATGTTCAACACTACTGATAAACTGCAATTTTATCAAAATTTTGCTAAGACCCCTTAAATTTTGGCTAAAATTAAACTATCGAAGCTTTAACAAAAGAGACTTATGAGAATTCTGTTAAGATCAGAAGTTGCTTGAGAGAAATAAATTTTTGTTCAGTAAACATTCTGAATATTATAACCACTGGTTATCAGCAGAGTATCAGAGATCTAATAAGAGTTCCATTTGTATGATGGGTGACAGATTTATCAGAATTCTGTTAAGAATTACATTGGTATTAGATGCAACAATCTTATCAGAATTCTGTTAAGAATTACATTGGTATTAGATGCGACCGTCTTGTCAGAATTCTGTTAAGATTCTTACATTGATATTAGATGCGACCGTCTTGTCAGAATTCTGTTAAGAATTACATTGATACTAGATGCGACCGTCTTGTCAGAATTTTGTTAAGAATTAATTTACATTGATATTAGATGCGATCCTTGACATTAGATGCGACCGTCTTGTCAGAATTCTGTTAAGAATTGCATTGGTATCAGATGCGACCATCTTATCAGAATTCTGTTAAGAATTACATTGGTATTAAATGCTATAGTCTTATCAGAATTCTGTTAAGAACTACATTGGTATAAGTTGCAACAGTCTTATAAGAATTCTGATGAGAATTACATTCGTAGTAGATGCTATAGTCTTATCAGAAATTTGTTAAGAATTACATTGGTAGTATATGCAATAGTCTTATCAGAATTCTGTTAAGAACTGCATTGATATTAAAGGCGACCGTCTTATCAGAATTCTGTTAAGCTATATTAGAGTCGACAGTCTTATCAGAATTCTGATAAGAAGGCCGTTGTTATTTGATGCAACAGACTTAACTTGGACGGAGAGTTGTCTCATTGGCACTCATACAATGTACCACATCTTCCTATATCTATTATCAGAATTCTGTTAAGAGTACCTATTGTTTGATAGACGGGGCACATTTTATCTATGAGAATAGCATCTCCAAAAAATAAAAGTGCAAATATAAGTTAGTGTGCTCTGAAATACCTTTACCGTGCATGATGGCTAAATCTGATATAAGTGTGTTTAAACTTTATATTCTTCTTAAAACGTCGCATTACCATAGCATAAAGGTATGGTGTTGTAATAAAAGGCGAAGCTTTATTAGATATAAAGTTAAAATATTCCTACAGTACAGTTTTGAGTTTATTTGTTTTTATATATTAGTATGTGTTAACTGAATCAAACACTGAGTGAAAAAAAGACTTTATTAAAAATGCAAAATCATATCACTGCATGCATGCCATGTGAGAAGAATGATTGCCTTGTATACTTAAAAAATATGAAGCTCCGTACCAAAAATAAAATCATTTCGTTGGATAAAAGACAATAAATGATTGACTACACATTACATGTTCAATGGGTATAAATAATTTAAAGAATTATCAAACAAAAATGATAGCTCTGTGGATCTGAAAACCGTTCTAGACATTACATCAACTCATTCATTAGTAAAGTAAGCCGAGTAATGTGTAACATATGTAACAAATGCTACGGACGGATCCTAGGACCAGTTGGTTGCAGTGTGCTCCTCTGTGCAAGTTTTGTACTGTTTAAACATATTTATTTGCATGTCGTTTGGAGAAAATCCGCTCGGGTTTAACAACTTTCCAAACTTTTTTTCGACAAATTTACTATAGAATTATTTTTCCAACGGTGTATCTCATTCTGTTCTTGTGGGTTCCAACCTCTGGTTGCTACTCATACCTGGTAGTTATGAACCTTCAAATAAAATACAATATTGGATATAATTTCCCATCTTTAATCATTTTACTTATCTTTTTTCACATGAATGTCAATTACTATTACTTTGCTTGTTATCTTTGAAGATGTTCAAACATTGAAGAATATTTCTTTAGTTTATGCTAGATTTCAGATGCTGTTTTAATTGGTTCTGCTTGTTGCCACTACATGTACATTACATCTGACGAGTTATCAGCTATCTGTGAACAATATCCAGTGTTATGTGAATATAAATAAGACAGAGGCTCAACAACATAAACTAACCAAACTTTAGATTTAATTATGCCCCACTCTCGGGGGGAAATATTGCAATCCCCTTGTCATTCAAACAAATATTTCCGTCACCTTTTTCTCAGAAACTAACGAAGAGACCTTCATATTTGGTCAGCAACTCAACAACTATGAGTTGTAGCATGTGTACGAATTTCGGATCTGTACTACATGTTAGTGATCTTTATCCTTCAACCTACCTTTCTAATATACAAATACAGGTTGACGGTTGACAGATAACATGAAACGAAATGTATACCATACGTTCATAGTCTCCACTGGTATCCTGCTTATGTTGCGAGCGTACGGTTATGTTAAAATTACTGTTCACATGACAGTTTAATTTGGGGTCCTCATTGCGGTCTGCCTTTAAGTCATGTCGATTTCATTCAAAAACCAAAACAATGATTGGGATGGAAAAAAGCTATATATACTTTTAAGCTCAATGTTAGATTGCAGAATAAAAACAATATTCGTTCAGTGTAGGAAAATATAAAATGTATTTGTACTCGCTACGAAACAGGAGAAAAGCGCAGCGAGCCTCGCTTTACTCTCTGTTTCTACAGCACGTCAAATAAATTTTATATTTTCCTACACCATGTACACTGTACGAATATTGTATATAAAACCTGTTTTCCGATACTTTCACGATCTAGATTTTGCTTAACACGACATCCAGTGCATTATTGTCAGTACTTGCCTTCTTTAAGTTATACATATATATAAGAATAAAAAGATGTTGTATAGTTGCCAATGAGACAACTCTCCACCAGAGACCAATTGACATAGACATGATTTTTGTCAAATGTTGAATACGATGCAAACCTCTGCTTTTCCGCAGAAAGAAATTTTCTACCAATATAAAAAAAGAAAACGCGGTATGATTGCCAATGAGACAACGCTCCAACAAAAACCTAAGCAACGATGTCAACAATGTAGGTTATTGTAAGGCCTTCAATAATGTCAAAAACCCATCCCTTATAGTATTGATATATAGCTTTTAAAGGGCAAAAGATCACCCCTATTATTATTTTATATTTTTGAAATAATCTAAATAAAATAAATCAATATTGTTCATCTTGGCGATGTGGTTGTGTATTTATACATCCCGCACAAACAAACGGAGACCTCTGCACTGGAGTCGTCGCCTCTCACACGATGAAACTGGGACCAATATCTATCCTCTGTGATACCACCAGGAGTCTTGATGATATGCTTTTATAATAATGAATGAGAAGACATGTTTTTGCCCTGTCACTTTTCCTGTTACAAGATAAATTGAGTCAGTAAGACTACTTTGGAGCTATCATGCACATGCAGTGAAGTGTAAAATTATTTGGAAAAGAACAATAATTTCCTTATGACTTTCATAAATATCATTTTGAATGAGTATTTCATGTGTATATCAAACACAAATAAATAATGAATTTTAATTTGAATTTGTAGTGCTCGTTTAATTTAAATTAGTGTTTTACTTCAACGTGTTTTTATTGTAAGTTTTATTTGACATAAAATTCAAGAAAACAAATTTGTCTGCAAAATAGTTAGCAACCCTGGCTTAGGATTCATACTTATTTTATATACCAACGCACGCCTCAATTTAATTTCAAGCCCTGTCAAAAATTCTGGAATGTATTATATTTTCTTATTTACTCATATAAGTATTATTCTTTGATTGTATTTTTTTTCACGTGCCTAAATACACAATGATCGCCTTGTTATGAAGCATAAATCCATGAACTTTATAAAATTCAGGCTAAATAATTAAAGGTATTATGTATTTATGTATTTAATACAGTAATTCAAGAGGATTTCAAGAAGGGGAGCGGAAGGTCTAGTTAGACAGAATAATAAACGTTTATATACAAATTAATTCCAGCTGCTTTTATTGACTTCAGAGAAAAATTTGTCAGTTAACATTCTTCCGATTAATCAGGTCACCATGGTCACTTTGATCCCTACATCACCATATGTTACTCTTAAAACTTTGGACAAGGTCAAATCATAATATATTTATCTTTTAATTTTATAATATATATTCTTTTTAGTTCGTATGGATTGTAAGGTCAAATAAACATTGAACGTTTGCGATAACATGGTGTCCGTCAGCATCCGTCAGCCGTAAACTGTTTACAATTTCATATATTATTGTGAAAACCGACATCTCGATTTAGCCAATTTCAGGTTGGATTTGTGTATACATGCAAGTCCTACACAGAATGAAGTTTTACATAATGGTTTTACTACAAGTATAACATATACATTTACAGTAATTTTATACACTACATACTGTTTATCTTTTGTTGTATAGTATCGGAAAATTAGACCCAACCATGAAATCTTAAGATTGACCAATGAAACAAGAAATGAGGTGAAGGTCGGATAGACCCTACGAGACAGACATGTATACACCTTACAATCATTTTATACATCAAATATATTAAACCTATTGCATAAAGTATCCAAAAAAAAAAAAAATGACCGCGAAAACTTAACCTTGACCACTGATCCAGATCCGACATACCAAATATTGTTTCCCTATTACTCATAAATAAGTGAGAAATTCATATGACAAAAAATATAAAGTTTTGAAGCAGCCGGTGAACCACGAAAATTAGAGCAAGAATAATGGACATATGACAGACGGAAACTGAGTAACATAGTCATGATAATGCATATATATATGCAAAAGGTATGAAGCATCCAGGTATTCTACCTATTGAAATATAAAACTTTATACAAATAGTT